ATTTTAGTTTGTTTCTGGGACAGGGGGCACCCTTAGTTATTCAACTGTAGAAAGCCAACTAATCTGCCACTTAACATCATAGTGAGCAAAACCTGAACACAAAGGTAGATCTACAATATTAGCCCAAGATCAGTTCACACACAGGCTTATCACCATGTTAGTTGTAGTAAGAGATGCACTGATTTAATTTTTCCTGGCTGATTCCAATTGTCGATTATTGAAAGGTCTGACCTGCCGATTCCGAATATTTCTTTCTAACAACTATAACTGACAGCATACACAAACATCTTTGTAACTTTTCTTTATTGGAAAATTCTTTTTTATTAGGATCAGCACCAGCATAAATTTGAGCTATTCTTACTGGCATCCTTCAAGTATATGATCATAATCAAAGACTGATTATTAGATAACATTGACATTTTCACTTTAAGGAGCTGTTTTGCTAAAAAAGGTACAAATAAAATCCAACAAAAAAATTAGGTCATTTTAAAATGACAATATTTGAAAGAATACATTACCCTATTTCTATTATTTTATTACTATTTTAATCCTACTTAATTCTCCACCATATTTTAGTGTTTACTCTGAAACATCAGGAATCTGCTCTCCTTGCTTTTCAGACACAAAAGCACACACCTACACATTTCTCTCTCTCTCTCTACGCATGTATTTGTCAGTAGTTTTATAAAACACAACTGGTATTTTCCCCCGCAATTCTGTTTTCACAGCAGCAAATGAGCCACGTGCGGAGGTGGCTTGTTATTAATTACCTATAGAGCCACCGTGGTATGAATGACAACAGCTGGGTTCACTGTTGCTTTGCCTGCTCCATGCTTTAATTATCCACCGTGTCTTCTAACTTAACATAACAATGCGTCTCTTTCTGTGTGTTTCTTTGCAGCTGTAAATAGTGAGCGTTATGTCATCTTCACTCCATTGAAGAACTTTCCCAACTAAGACATGTTTTAGTGTGTGTACGGCTGTGACAATAGCCAGTTACTGTCTGTGCCGCTGTGCACATGATGTGAAACACCGTGCGTGTAACGTTCAGTGTGATCGGCAGAAAATGGGATATTTGATGCCACTCGGCCCGGTCACCGGTCAGGGCTGATTAAGCTGTAAATCGGCCTATTCCAGTCCCTATTCAATCGATTGGCCCATCTCTAGTTCTAGTGAGTGACTTACTATCCAACAAGCTATTAGAAAAGTTACCAAACAAGCTAGGTAATGTTAGAATAGATAATATAGTGGACTCATGGGAAAACACATTGGTTATCATAATTTGTTGTCATGATTAATTTATTAATGACTCAACATCCTATGTATTAAAGAGAAGAAATCAGTTCATCTGATGTTCTAAGTAAATAAAATAGCCCTGACAGCCATACTGGAGTTTCACACCTACTGAAGCAGTTAAAAATTTCAATTCAATTCAGTTTTATTTATATAGCGCCAAATCACAACAGTTATCTCAAAGCACTTTTCATAAAAGAGTAGGTCTAGACCATACTCTGTGATGATATTTACAGAAACCCAACAGTTCCCACCAAGAGCAAGCACTAGGCGACAGAGGCAATGAAAAACTTCCTTTTAAGAGGCAGAAACCTCGAGCAGAACCATGGCTCAGGGTGGGCAGCCATCTGCCTCGACCGGTTGGGGTGAGAGAGAGAGAGAGAGAGAGCAAGAGAGGAACAGAGAGAAAGAGAGAGAGGGATGGAAGGAGAGAGAGAGAGGGGAGGGAGGCAGCCTACACAATATACACACAGAGGTACAGACAGTAAAGGTGATGTTGCACAGATCCAGACTCCACAGCTCCAGAGCCAGAAACACCTGCGGGAAGTGATAGGAAGAGAAAGGAGAGGGACGAGAAAGCACAAGACTACCGGAAAGGGGAGAAGTCGAGTTAGTAACATGCAATAATGGGATGAGGTTGCATACAGAGGGAGAGAGAGAGAGCAGCTCAGTGCATCATGGGAAATCCCCCGGCAGTCTAGGCCTATAGCAGCATAACTAAGGGATGGTTCAGGACTCACCTGAGCCAGCCCTAACTATAAGCTTTATCAAAGAGGAAAGTCTTAAGCCTACTCTTAAATGTGGAGATGGTGTCTGCCTCCTGAACCCAAACTGGAACCTGGTTCCACAGGAGAGGAGCTTGATAGCTGAACGCTCTGGCTCCTAGTCTACTTTTGGAGACTCTAGGAACCACAAGTAACCCTGCATTCTGGGAGCGCAGTGCTCTGCTGCTCTGCAGAGCTCTTTAAGATAAGATGGTGCCTGAATATAAAGAGCTTTGTAGGTGAGAAGAATGATTTTAAGTTCTATTCTGGATTTTACAGGAAGCCAATGCAGAGAAGCTAAGACAGGAGAAATATGATCTCTTTTCCTGGTTCCTGTCAGAACACGTACTGCAGCATTCTGGAACAGAGTCTTAATGGACTTTTTCGAGCAGCCTAATAATAAGGGATGCAGTAATCCAGCCTAGAAGTAACAAATGCATTGACTAGTTTTTCTGCATCATTTTTAGACAGGATGTTCCTGATTTTTGCATTTTTCCATTACGTAGGTGAAAAAAGGCGGTCTTTGAAATTTGCGAGACTTAAACGACATGTCCTGATCAAAGATAACTCCAAGGTTCCTCACAGTGGTGCTGGAGGCCAGGGCGATGCCATCAAGAGAAACTATATCTTTAGATAATGCGTCACAGAGGTGCTTGGGCCCCAGAACAATAACTTCAGTTTTATCTGAGTTTAACATTAGAAAATTACAGGTCATCCAGGTTTTAAAATCTTGAAGGCACATTTGAAGTTTAGCTAACTGATGAGTTTCATCTAGCTTGATCGATAGATATAACTGAGTATCATCTGCATAACAGTGAAGGTTTATGGAATGTTTCCTGATAGTATTGCCTAAAGGAAGCATACATAAAGTGAAGAGGATTAGTCTGAGCACAGAAAAAGGGATTCTGTGGGAACACTATTAAATGTTCAATTTCAATACCATATACCAAAACAAGGTCGAGGGTGTGGTTAATAAAACAGTGAGTCGGTTCATGAACACTTTGAGAGAAGCCAATGGAATCTAACAGAGAGATAAACACAGTACTAAAGCTGTCATTCTCAACGTCCACATGAATATTAAAATCCCCTACAATAATAACTTCGTCCGTTTCAAGGACTAAAGTTGACAAAAATTCAGAGTATGGACCAGGTGCTCGGTACACTATAAAACATAGAATTGGTTGCAGTGATTTCCAACTTGGGTGTGAAAGACTAAGAACATGGCTTTCAAATGAGTTATAGTTTAGTTTATGTTTAGAGCTAATTAGTAGGGTAGAGTCGTAGATAGTTGCAACTCCACCTTCTCGGCCTGTGCCTTGAGGAATGAGAGTATTATATGACTGGGAGGGGTGGATTCATTTAGACTAACATATTCTCCATCACCCAGCCAGGTTTCAGGAGGAGCAGAGAAATGTGTTAGACTGCGACTCTGCCTCCTGGTCTCAACTCTGGTTTGTCGTGGATTTGGTCCACTAACAAACCAGATTTCTAGAAATGAGAGCTGCTCCTTCCCAAGTGGGATGGATGCCGTCTCTCCGAATCATACGTCATCACTGGTCAGATTTGGCAGGGGTCCAGAGAAAACTACGGGGTCCGACATTGTTTTTGTATATATACACACTAGCTCAACATTAATCTTAGTGACCTCCGATTGGCGTAACCGGGAGTCATTACTGCCGACATGAATAACAATCTTACTGTATTTACATTTATCCTTGGCCGGCAGTTTCAAATAAGACTCAATGTCGTCCGCTCTGGCCCCAGGGATCTACTTAACTATGACAGCTGGCTTCGCTAACTTCACGTTTCTAAAAATGGAACTGCCAATGATCAGAGTTGGTTTCTCAGTGGGTGTGTCGCTGAGTGGGGAAGATCTGTTATAAACGTGAACAGGTTGGTGGTGACCCGTGGGCTTTGAATGCTTATGACTATTCCTGCTTCAGATAGTCGCCCAGCCACCCTTTCCTGGCTGCTCAGGAGATGCCGGGGGACGGCTACCACAGGCTAACAGGGGACTGGCTAGCTACAGTAGCTAACGACTGATCTACTAAGGTGGGTGGGTCCTGACCACCCTGTCCCCCTGCGATTTCCACCTATGGATGTAGCAATCCCAAGACACAGCAACATCAAGAAGAAGTAACACGAGAAACTCGAAAAAACACCAAGGGCTGAAAGCTAGAATAGGAGCACTGGGGGCTGTGACCCCCAAACTGGGAGAGTGGCTGCAACAGATTCCAGGTACAACATCTGAAGTCTCTGTCCAGAAGAGTGCAAACTCCCAGGCTTCTGGTTGAGGACCCGAGGTTGAGGATGACACATACCAACTTGACAACAGCCCGCCTTCCTCTTCAAAAACAGTGCTAATTCTAATTCCTGCTAGGGTCAGGACTTATCTCTTTGAGTAGATTTTAGTATGTTTTTTGTTACTGTTAAAAATAGGTAGTGTAGCTACAATTTACCCGTATTATATATTTGCCTTACTGACTAATTTACTTTAAATAAAATTTAAATCGTTTGTATGGGTTGTATTTACCACCCTCCAAAATCCTTTTTTACAGTGTACCATTGTGGAAAATAAAGATACAAATGTAACTCCCAAGAGGACAATCAATGGTCCTTCTTTCTTCTTGTTCTACTTCTTCAATTACTTGCCGCTTAACCCTTTTTTGACGGATGAAAAATATGTTTTTTTCATGATTTAGGTACTGAACCTTATTCTACTGATATTTTCCATTGGCATGGCATAATGTATTCTTTGGATGCTTGATATATTCTTGTGTCATCATTTCAGATTTTTTCTGCCCCCTCACTGTTCTTCTGTTTGGAAAACAGAATCTTACCAACTGCATTTGGATTATGCCATTAAATATTTATTCTATGCAGAAGAAAAAGGCCTCATGTTAGCTTAGTGAGAGCTCTACTCCCAACCTCCAGAAGTCCTACCTGTTGGAGACATCTCAGGGACACTGGCACTGTAGGGATCATCAGGGAACCGTGGCTCATTGTCATTGATGTCCTGTACTTTGATGACGAACTCAGACTCTGGCTCTAGAGGGAGGCCTGTGTGGAGGTCAAAAGCCTGGGCCTTCAGTGTGTAGTAGGACTTTTCCTCCCTGTAAATCAACAAGTTTTACATACACATAAAATGCACTAATGTTAATATGTCTAATCAACAGAGACTACAGTAGGATTATGTAGTCCGGCTTTAAAATATCTTTTACAAACTATATTTTTTCCTACTCTTCCTCCTCCTCACCCTCATCTTCTTACTCTGTTTTTCTCTGTGGCTGTTTATTACACTGGTTATGGTATGTAAGGTACACGTAAAAATTTCCTAAGTAGTGTTACAAATGTTGATTTGAATTACAGTACATACTGGTTATGCCCCACTACACATTTAATTCCCTCTATAGGGAGTACTGAATACTGACCTCATAAACAGAAAAAAAGCATCTGTCATTTTTCAGTGGTGTTAAAATGATCTATATGTACCTGATAAATGACAGTCATGAAAAATGACATTTGTCTGTAAGCAAAGCAAAGGCAGAAGTAGTGTTACACTGTTATCTTATCACAAAGGAAAAGAAAAAGGAGAATGGATGGTTTAACAGGGCTTGTGACTCTAACACAGGAAACTATGGTTATGCAGCAGTTAACATTGCTGTTTCATTTTACCCAAATTTAATTATGCACACCTCCCAAAAAAACAAAGGATCCTACCTTACGGTGGTAACACAAATCTCTAAATGGTATTAGCCTCTCTGTTTGTTATCTTCTCCAAATATTGAATGAAAGGTTGCTAGATGCCATCAAATAAGGACCCCTGATGTTTGAAGGGGCACCACCCCATTCTCGGGGGAAAGGAAATTAAATAAAAATGCAATCAAATTAATCAAATCATTCAGTCCTATACCTGATACTGTATATTGTCTGCTGTTCTTTTCAGTCCTGGCTGGATCATTGTTGCTTGTAGTGTTCTGTCTTGTGTCATGTCATCTCCTGCTTGTACCCTGTCTGTTTATGTGGATATTTGGATTCTCTCTTTGGATTAAGCTTTTGTTGAAGGACTCTTTGTGTTTGGACTCTCTTCTCCATGCCTATACGTAAGCCTGTGTTCCTCAGCTCGAAGTAAAATCTCACCAACTGCATCTGCCTGCACCGTATGTTGCATTTGGGCCCACTGCCTGCCAGCTAAGGGTTGCCTGTGTCAAGACTACGCCCCAATTTTAACTACACCTTAGTTACCACCCACCGTATCTCCACTCCACCATACCACACTTCACAAACCATCACAATACTATACATCTATGCAGACAGGTGGGGGGTTGATGGTGGTTGGGATCTCATTGGCCCAGTTTCCTGCCTCGGGCTTCTGCTCATGTCCGAGGCAGGTAGCGTGTCCTTATTCCTGGGATCCGTAGACTTCTCTCCTCGCCAGGGCCCTCTTCAGCGGGGGTGATGCTCCTGCAGCTGTCCTCTGCCAGCTCTTCTATGACGAGTGCATGTAGTTGTCCCAGGGGCGCATGGTCAGGGCTGTTGTGGTGGGTCTTGGCCTGCTCCCTTTGGGGTGGCTTTCTGGGGGGGCAGTGCCATCATCCGGGATCTGGGCCGGCCACACACACACTCACAGGCACACACAGGCAGACACGCACACACCCATATTTGGGTTGTCTGTGGTTGTCAACAAGTAGTTGCCGTGTTATTTATGCTTTTCATTGAGTTATTTATTTAAATGAATTGTTATTAACTTGCCTCTGATTGTTGAGCTCTGTTGTTTATTTGTTTTGCTTGACTGTGTTCTCCTGCATTTCTTTTCTTTTCGCTGCTGTTTGCTGCTGTAGTTTGGCTTGCTGTCTTCACAGTGGGGAATTTAACCTAGGTTTCTCACACCAAACAAATGTGTCTTATCCATTGCGCCATCACTCCCCCTCATCCAAGTTTAATTCTGTCATTTGATATAATGACTATTTCTGATAGCTGATAGTGGGCGCAAATACGCTACTTGGGCCCCATTTGATCTCTGTTTTCAACAGCTCCCTATCTACTGGTTGTGTCCCTGATTATTTTAAAACGGCTTGCGTGAACCCACTTTTAAAGAAACCTGGTTTAGATCCCTCCCTCCCACATAATTTTAGACCAATTTCAAAACTGCCTTTTATTGCAAACATTCTAGAAAGAATTGTGTCCAAACAGCTGCTCACTGTGCTGGAAAATATCAAATTATTTGAAAAGTTTCAGTCTGGTTTTAGGAAGTACCACAGCACTGAGACTGCCCTGCTTAAAGTCACCAATGACCTTTTAATGTCTGCTGATGAAGGTATGTGCTCAGTCCTGGTACTCCTGGACCTTAGCGCTGCTTTTGACACCATTGATCACAACATCATGTTAGACAGACTGAGGCACTGGGTGGGGATCTCTGGTACTGCTCTAGAATGGTTTTCATGGTTTTGCGTGTCTGTAAACAACTATGTCTCTTCATTCTGTCCAGTTAAATATGGTGTGCCTCAGGGGTCGGTCTTAGGACCCATTTTGTTTTCCTTGTATCTGCTTCCCCTTGGACATATTATCCATAAACATGGCATTTCTTTTCATATTTATGCTGATGAAGGACACCGAGACCATTTTACACGCCTTCATCTCATCACGCCTGGATTATTGCAACAGCCTTTTCACCTGTTTAACCCAAAAATCTATTGATCGACTCCAGACTGTCCAGAACTCAGCTGCCAGGCTTTTAACCAGAACAAAGAAATATGACCACATTACTCCTATTTTAGCTTCATTACACTGGCTCCCAGTATGTTTTAGAATTGACTTTAAAATTCTATTGATCACTTTTAAAGCTCTTCATGGCCTCTCGCCTTGTTATATTTCTGACCTTTTAGTCCCATACGCACCAGCACGTACCTTGAGATCCTCGGGCAGAGGTCTGTTGTCTGTTCCAGAGTCTCGACTGAAAACTAAAGGGGACAGAGCGTTTTCTGTCAGGGCCCCGAGGCTCTGGAACAGCCTGCCCGAGGAAATCAGGTCGGCTGAGTCGGTGAACTCTTTTAAGTCCCTTCTTAAAACATACTTTTATAGGAGAGCTTTCCCCGATCTTATTTGACATTATTTTATCCCTTTTATTTTATTGTATTTTACTAATTTTATATTAAATTTTCATGCTCTTATCTTTTTTGTATTATTCTTTACACTTGTTAAAGCACTTTGTAACTTGTTTTTGAAAAGTGCTCTACAAATAAGGATTATTATTATTATTATATTACTACCTTTTATCAAATAATAATAATAGTAATAATAATAATGATTAGATGATGATAACTATTTTTATAGCACCTTTCAAGGGACCTAAGGACACTTTACACATAACCACACAAACACAACAAACAGTAGAACAACAAAAGGAGGTCATTATAGATAGAAGAGATGGGTTTTTAGCAAATTTTAAGTGTCCAAACAGGTAACATTGCGGATATCTGGGGGGATGGTGTTCCCGAGGGTGGGGGTTGCGACACTGAAGGCTCTGTCCCCAAAAGTCTGCAGTCTGGTGTGGGGGATGGAGCGCAAGCCCTTGTTTGTGAATCGCAGATTCCATGAGGAGGTGTAGGGATGGAGAAGATCCAGAAGATACAGGGGGGCAATGGCGTGACTGGATTTAAAGGTGAGGAAGAGGATTTTTTAGATGATGCAAAATTTGTTGTTGAGGTTGTAGAATGCAGACTTAGTAATGAGTTTGACATGAGACTAGAATGAGATGGTGGAGTCCAAAATGACACCAAGGTTGAGGACTTCTTGGGATGGAGAGATGGATCAACCATCCACTTTGAGGAGTAGATCTTTCACCCTCTGGAGCAGTGGCTTGGGACATTAGGTAATTCACTACAATTATTTTAATGCCTTTAAGCCTTGTATTCGGGGGCAGAGCTAGACTGTCAGCACAGTGGGGGCGGTGCTTCATCGTGGGCCCACCTGCTACAAAGACATATTAACCAAGTTTACATGACCCCAGATTCACTCTCTCTGTCTGAGTCACTGCTGCTGGAGCAGCCTTTCTACTAAATGTTTTTGCTTACACCAGAAGCGCTGCAGTGCGTCCATAGACTGAGTGCGTCCAGGAAGCATCCCAGTGTCAAGCAGCACAACGCAGATGAACCGGGCAGGAAGTCAGACTCAGAAACAATAAAATAAGATTATTACAGACTTCCGATTTTATATCCACAATAAACATAGTTAAATCAGACAAAAAAGAAACATTTTTACTACGTAGCCTACTTAATCATAGTAGAAGCATAAAAAGTAAGCACTAATCACCAAATCAACAAATCTAAACATGGTCGGCAAAGTACGACAGGTAAAACGCTCTTATTCTGAAATGCTCCCTGTGGTAGTTGCTAGATGCACCCGTCAAGACGAGAAATGAAAGCAATTTTGTTTGAAATACAAATGTTACTTTATGATTTATGTTTATTAAAATGTGTCTCCTTAGAATCTAGTGTGTTTGTTGGTAATTGTCATTGTCGTGGTGGTTTATCATTGAAACCATGAGTGAAGGGACTGTTTCCTTTCATAAGAGCTGCTGAATTCTCCCAGGTACAGCGTATTGTAACATAGAGAGTCACTCACTTCCGCTTCTGGCTCATGGGACCTTATTTTGGAAAAATAATGTATAATTTTGCAAGTCAAGAAAGTCGCATTTTATTGTAAAACAGTAAAGTTACATGTCGTTTTGTGTGAAACCGCTCAATGAACTACATCTCTCGTCTCGCACAATATACGTCACCAACATGTTAGCGTGGTAAAGCTAGCTAACGTTCATTGCTTTCTTGCTACTAGCTAGAAAATGTAGCTTTGTTCCATGCAGAAATATATCTCACCTGATGTGTTTAATCCAATGACTCCTGGCTCTTTTATCACATCACCCTCTCAAGTGTTTTGATGTTAGCTTCAGTAACGTTAGCTTCAGTCATTGACAGAGAAAGTTACGACATCACATACGCGACTTTTGGGTTTGTGGTCTTTGTAATTACGTATTTTCACAGTCTTATATCTCAACAGTTTTACACCAAACTACGACCTTCTTTAATTTAAAATGTATCTTTTAAATCGACAAAGATCATATGTGTAATTCAGGGCACAATTCAAATGGGATCAAAATATTTGTTGTCTCCTGCCATTGACTACTGTACAATATTTTTCCGAAATAAGGTCCCATGGTGGTGGTCCCACCGGAAGGGGAGGGACTTAGGCTCTCTATATTGTTGCTGTTTGATCATGTCCTCTGTTATCAGCTGAGCTAAACTTCATAGTCCGCGTAGTGGGCCCCCTACTGGTGTGGGCCCTGGGTTGGCCGCCCACATGCACCCACGCTAGCTCCGCTTATGCTTGTATTGCTACACTTTGCTCATAGTTGATTGGTGCTACAATACAGTCCTTCTCAATTGTTTACATAGTAACACTGGTAGTTGACACACAATGACTGCAGTTTTACAGGAAAACCACATTGAAAAGACTACATACAGTTCTCTATGCACATAGATGTAAACATAAAATATACGTAGATGTTAGCGAAGCTTTTCTATATATTTCAGTCTGGTTTGCCATCTTTCTGTTTTGAATGTGTTTAACAGTTTTGGACACAGGTGGTGAAGTAGTAATGACAAAAGAGTTCATGGATTTCAGAGATAGTAGTCTTTGAATGCATTTTGTGTGAAAGCAATGAAACATGATTCACAGTGTGGTCCACATACACTTCCATTTCGCTGACTGTGTGAAGAGTTTTGACAATATGACTTCAGATTTGACCAATGCAGGTTAGCAATTGAAAAAAAACTGTAATCCTGTTTATTTATTGCTCTACTTGTTAGAGTACTAAAGCAATGTAAGGGTCCATCCACTATGGTTATGCAATATTAGTAGTGGTAACCTGATGGTGCTAATTTTCATATATTCATTTGACAAAGGTTACAGTCTCAGTACAGTGTTATTGCGCCACACAGATATTATGTTCCATGAGGAGGTGGAACATAATATCTGTTATGTTCCACCTCCTCTGCTGCTTTTTTCATCTTTGCAGTGGAGTGGAAGTGTTAGTGGACATTTGCTTCATGTATGCCAAAATGTATTAATTTCATTGAAGTCTTTATCCATCGCATTTTGCTTTTATCAATATACCCACTTTTCCACTTTAGCCAAGTTTTCATGGGTGGCTGAGAGCAGACTTAGGTGTGGACCCAAATGCAGACACAGGCAGGAGGATTCAGTTTAGTTTAATATTTATTTAAACAAAAACTTAAACAGGAAAACATGAACACAAAACACACTCTTAACACAAGTATAAAAACTTTTTAGTGATATTTTGATTCCACTTTTTTGTGTTTGCAGTCAGGTCTTCTTAATGCAAAAAAAATATGAAAATATGCATAAAAAGGTTGTAGGCATGATCATTTACGATGACCTACAAAACTGCTAATAATCCATTCTAAGAGTAAGAGTGTCATGTACTGTTATCTGTCTTGCAATTATTGCCAGTGGAAACATTACTGATACTAATTCCTTGATCAGTAGCTTCAGTGTTCAATGTGCAACCAGTAATATCTCTGTAATGTAGCTCAACCTGTGTTTATTAGATGCTAGTTATGTCTCTATTAGAATCTATACATTTTACTTTTGCTAGTATTACTGTATTGTTATTAATAATATTATTGATGTGTGCTTACCTGTCCAACCCCACTAGTGCGTGTATATCTCCTGTAACTGGATCAATGATGAAGATGGACCCAGCTCCTTCTCCTGACAGAGTGTACTTGACTGCATTGTCTCCATGGTCCATGTCTGTGTGGAGCTGCAGTAGGAAGAAAATACTCACTGAGAGGCACAGAACATCATAAATCATAGCTCCTGAATGCATTGTGTGACTCCAACTGCAGCAGCAATCATTCACAATAAAATTGGATTTATTGTCATTAGCAATAGCGTGTAAACTAATGTGCAAAACAGATCATGTGTTGTTTACCAAAACAATTTGTTACTTTAAAAATGCAAATAATTACATGTTGTGGCTATGGTGGATACATGATGTATAAAAACTAAAAGTATACACTTTATGAATAAACAGAGATTGAAGGTAATAAACACTGACATATAAACATGTCACATATAACAATATGATAATTAAAACACTTTTAATAATTGTCCTTTATTCAGGGGTAGTGTGTGATTTTAATTTTATTATTTCATGATTTATTTTAATTAATCATAAAAATGCTTCTACAGCTTCTTAAAACAGCAGAGCAGAGGCTAAAAATGTATTTTATAACACTCTCCAAAACATGGTAAGGCAATAAGATTTTAAATGCAGATTATGTCAAAGGAGATGAATGAAAGATTTGTGAGTAGAATTATTTTGCTGTCATTGATGTCTTAATTAACTTCCCATTTAATTTGTATATGTCAAACCTAAGTTGCAAAGATTATTATTCGTCGTTTCTTCGCTCCTCGCTTGAACCGGAAGTTGTTGTGCTCCGCCATCTTGCAGACCGTCCCAAAGCTCTTATTTGTGCTCTAAGGAGCAAGGAGCGATCTCTGAGGATCTATGAGCAAGGATACACCAGTGCATTATCGCAGAAGTCTGTTATATTGATTGGACCCTGCAGCTGATCGGATGCATCACAGCATAACAGCAGTTTCATACCTGAGTGAAGACAGATAATACTTTTAACTCTAGTGTAGCATATCACTGCCAAATTTTTTAATTAGATTTGTTTTGTGATTTACCATCTAGTTAAAATCTGTGTTCATTGTAGGTCTGAACAACAAAAGCCCCGCACACAACTTTCTTCATTTATTAGAAAGATTTTTCTAGCTTTTATTTCTCCCATCAACTTTTATTATGGAGACAATTACAGTCAGAGTCGAAAAGTCTGTCTGCAAGAAAAAAGTTTTACATCATTTATCATCATTTCAGATGTGAGGCTGGTCATTCCTCTGTTTAGTCCAAATAGACGACAATAAAACATAGCAAACACGTAGCCTAAGGAGGCAGACAATTAAAGCCTGCACATCCAGCCGATGTCACCTTCTGCATCTGTTGAAAGCAGCCGGTGGCACCGCGAGTAAAATCAGCTGATGAAATATGAATGAAAGCTGCTGCGCTAAAAAACTACATTGTTGGATTGTTGAAACCCAAGGTTTCCCAATCCAGCAATGAACGCCTTCACATAAAAGAGGCGTTGTTAACAGTAGATGACCTGAACAACATGAACAAGTCTACTGGCATCAGTGTCATATTTTACAAAAGAAGAGCAAACTGTAATACTACAGAAATATGACATAGGATTATCTAAGGAATATAGCTGCAACTGACACATGCAGGGAGACAGAAATTCGCTGACATTGCGAATGCCTAAATAAATAGGCGTAGTCCTTAATAATGCGTTGATTTGATGTGTTCTTATGAGCTGTATAAAAATATCAGCCTTATTCTTTCAGCTTGGCTGTGTCGGCATTTCCACAAGACTCGGGCACTGAATAAGTGGTCTTCCACCTCACTTTAAAAAACCTCTCATGTGTGTTAAATAAATGAATCTAATCTTTGAAGTGAAAGATGAGATTAATTTATTTAACACACTTCAAAAGTGTTCCAAACATGGTTCTAAATTAACTTCATAAAGCAATGAAATGAAAAATCCATTCATGCCATAAAATGCACTCAAATAGTGGTTAAAAGACTGAATCTCAACATTTAGGCTGTTGAAAACTCTCCTCATTACCTGCGCCCACATCACAAAAGATTGGGAAGCAGGCAAATAACCAGTCTCTGTAGTTGGCCTATAAGAAAGCTACTAACCTAAAATAACTTGCCTACATTCAGGGTTAGTTACAGGTCCCTGGTCCCACTCCTGCCAGCAGCAACAGCACATCTTCTGTTTTGTTATTAGGGCCCGAGCAAGAACAGCCGCACCGGCAGAGCTCCAGAATATGCAACGCGGCCGCCTCACGCCCTGACGTGCTACTCATGCTAGGGCCCGCCCAACGCTGCTTGCAGCTTTAATATTATGTTTTGTTACCACTCCTCAAAGCCCGAACTTCACACTACTTACTCATCCACATTTACACCACTGATGTCACTGACTGACACACTCTATATTGGTAATTATTTTTTTATTGTTAAGTTACAATAATAAACATGTTTACTTTTGGCAGTCCTCCGTGTCCTCTCCGTTTGTCATGACTGTTGAGCTGAGTTATGATATAGTAGTATTATTGGTTACAAGGGTATCACTTGATGAATGGCTCTATTTAAGTATGTATGTAACATTTTTGGTTACATTCCTAGTTTTATAAATGTATTATTATTGAAGTTTATTAAATAGTGTTTGCAAGTTAGTCTCTGCTTTATCAGCTTGAAGCAAATCGTAATTCAATAAATATAATTCTTGTTCCTGTAAAAAACAACTATGCTCAAAGAATCCCACTGGGAAATCCAGAATAAATCTGGCACAAATATAACTCCATACATGTTCACCTTGGTCAGTTTGTCTCTCTACTCGCCATAGGAACCTTCTAAACCTACTCTGAACATGCAAGACTTTATACAACTTCATTGTTTTGTATGTGACTATGTGTTTAGTTGTAACTGCTCTGGTCCCTGGAGGACTCTAGCTTTGTCATAATCTCCTAAACCTGCCTGCCACAGATTCAACCAGAGGTTTTAGCACTGAAAGCTCTGACTCAAACAAGTGGCATATGTTGACCTTATTCCCATTGGCCACCCTCCTTCCGAGCAGCTCTACCTCCTCTGGTGATAATCAAGCTATGACCCTGCTTTTAGCACTAACAGCAGATTAATTAGGAGCCCCTGGGCACAAGTCCTCACTAGCTCAGCATGGGTTTACTCAGTCTGACTTTTCAGGCCTCTCATGTGTTCTCCTCCCTATCAGTAGTTGGGCCAACAGAGGACTATAGAGCTGAGAGAAGTTTGCATGTCCCCAAGATGGCGCAGCTCAGGGTAGCCATGGTATTTTGGTGCGCTCTGTTTGTTTTGTTTATGTTTGTTAACTCTGCATTCTGCTGTGATGCTTCGGCTCTGGAGCTCTTTCACCAGAGAAGAGCTCAGAAACATCAGGTGAACAACACCAGCGGATTTAATTCCCACTTTTCTCTTATCATCAGTTGAATGGTGCGACTACGCCGAAGAGGACACCACACGCTGCTTTTGGAAATATTTCTCTCCAATGTGCACTCACTGTGCAATAAACTGGACGTACTTCAGCTACTGGTGAGGAAAAACAGACTTTTATCCATCATCTGTTCTGTGCTTCACGGAGAAATGGCTGTGTGGATCAATACCTAGCTGCCAGCTGCAGAGCTGGCTGGCTTCCAGGTCCTACAGAGTGGACCGCGACACAGAACACCCTGGCAAAACAAAAGGTGGTGGTGTGTTTTTATATTAACAATGGCTGGTGTACCAGTGGAACAGTTATTCAGCAGCACTGTTCTCATGACCTACACCATCATCCCTATCCTCAAAAAAACAAGGACCACAGGACTAAACAACTACAGACATCTGTGGTTATGAAGTCCTTTGAGCGCCTTGTGTTGTCCCACCTAAAATCCATCACTGACCCACTCCTGGACCCCTGTAATTGGCCTACAGAGCCAACAGGTCTGTAGACGACACAGTTAACATGGCCTTTCACTTCACCCTCCAGCACCTGTACTCCCCAGGAATCCAGCCCTGCTGTAGGACAAGCTCCTGAAGCTTACGGATGACACCACCCTCATTGGGGTCATCTCTGGTGGGGATGAGTCCTGGTGCAGCCAGAACAGTCTGAAGCTCAACACTCAGAAGACAGTGGGAGCTGAACATCAACTCCTTCACCAAGAAGGCCCAACAAAGGATGTACTTCCTGTGGCAGCTGAAGAAGTTCAGCCTGCCAAAGACAATGACTTCTACACCGCCCTCATCGAGTCCACCCTCACCTCCTCCATCACCATCTGGTACACTGCTGCCACTGCCAGGGACAAGGGCAGGCTGCAGCGTATCATGCGGGCTGCAGAGAAGGTGATCGGTTGTCGCCTTCCATCTCTTCAGGACCTGTACGCCTTCAGGACTCTGAGGCCTGCAGGAAAGATTGCAGCTGACCCCTCCAATCCAGGACACAAACTGTTTCAGTCTGTACAGGCTGCGGTCCATCAGGACCAAAACCTCTCGCCACAAAAACAGCTTCTTCCCCTCTGCAGCCTCATTAACAAGGCCCGGGTCCCCTACTGACACTCCCCCCTTGCAATTGATACAAATGTCTCTGCACATGTAAATACTGTTTCATCTCGTGTTGGGCACAGACTTGGCACGTTGCACATATTTGTTGCTGATTGTTGATCTTTGTTGTTGTATATTTTTATGTTGTCAGTTTATATATTTATATGTACACAATATTATTTTCCGCTGCGTTACTTCTGCATGGCACAGACCCAGAATAATGCACATTTATATATCTGCAACGTTGTTCTTTCATTCCATATTTATATATTTCTACATTTATTTATGTTGACTGTATGTTTGTCTACATGTAGCACCTTATCACCACAGCAAATTCCTCGTATGTGTAAAACACTACTTGGCAATGAAGCTCCTTCTGATTCTGATAAACTAAACAACCTCTAAACACTAGACCAAGAAGGCAGGGTAACCATGGTAACCAAGTTCCTCTTTCAGATTACCTCAGTCATCAAAGACCCCCTTCTTCAGTCTTGATTCCCTACCCCACCAAAGAGCCATTAATTTGGACTCTTAACAAGCCCTCTCCCTTTTCACACCCAGTTGTGAAGAAAGCCAGAGAAGGATTCTGCCCCAAATTCCTTTGTGTGGACAAATGAATATTGTCTCCTGATAAACTTGCCTATTGTTTTAATTAAAGAATCTTTAAGTTACTAGTTCTCACCACTTCAATTGAGTAATTATTACCCTGTTCTTGTTAAAAACTATGTTGGAAAAAAGGAACCACAAATAAGTTAATTTTGCAGTGCTTTTAATCTTCATAAATGCTCGCCAACATTTCTGCACTTAATTCATGTTTTAACTAATGCTTTGTTCCCAGCACCTTTATATACTCTTAGAAATTATATGATACAGAAATATTGTGTGTTAAATAACCAATTTTCCTTGCTCCTGAACCAAGGATTGAGTTAAATATAAGTGCCCCCCCCCTCCCCCAGAGGACAAAATAAGTATTACATGTCATTGTTTTAATGGCTCTCCTTGTACTTTTAACGTATCACTCTGTATTTTATTGTTCATAATCTGATGCCATGTTCGTATAACTTGCTTATATATTCTCTAAGTAAGAACGTTTAACAGCCAATATTGTCCAGGAAGTATTTAGTCAAGATGCTCTTTCATCTGCTGTGATCCCTATGAAATGTTTTAACTATTATAATTTTTAATGATTGACAATAACTTCCTTTCCGTTTATCAAATGCTTAGAACTATGACATTTAAGGTTTTATTGTGGAAGGTATTTGATTAAAAACACGCAGATAGAACATATTAAAAGTTAAGGCACAAAAGCCTCAGAGGAAACAAGGCCCTCCCACTGGGATATGCCCCAAACAAACAAAACACAGCGCCAGACAAGCACTCGCTCTCTCCTCTTGTCTTTCCGCTCTTGCTCTTTGCTCTGCACGCTCACGGAGCATGCTCTGTGTCCAAGCAACGCCAAGATTTCGGCCCAGCATTGTCCGTGAAATTTTCTTTGTCTTCCAGCAGTAATTAGCCATATTAACGCGAACCTTTGTTGAATTTACTTTGTTTTGTTTGTTAAGAGTTATCAGACCGTTAATCCAGGCAACTTTGAATTCAGGAACAACCAAGTTCCCCTTTTAAGCTTTATTTTAACTTCCACTGCTCCCACCGAAGCCCACCCGTTAGGAGAAGCGGGAGATTTCCCGGTGGCCTGAGGTCTGTTTTGGCCTGCTGTTAATTGTCAACTTGACCAGTAGCAGTGATAATATATGTCAATATACGTTCATTTAGTACTTATGCCTTAATTAATATGCAATTTGGGGCGTTTCAATTTTATTGTGCAAAGTAGTGGGAGGGTAACATACAAATACATTTATTTACTACACGCAATGTGATCTACCAAGCCTAAAAGCCATTTCATGTGAGTGCAACAGCATCTGTATTTAATACGTTTGAAAGGAAGGTGCAAACCGCCAAGTATTGCGCAGACAGTGTTGCGCAGACAGTGTAGGCTAGGACAGCTGGCCTGGTCAGTGCAAACTTATCGCCCTAGAGACAGTAAACCATGATGTCACTGCACTGTGTTTCTGTTTTATGATTACTGGATTGACGTGATGAAGATTTTCTACGACATATCACTAGCCTTAAACTTAAGCAGCACCCTCAGCCAGAAACGTTGGGGTAGTTTTTGGCCAGGGGCCTGTACTATGAAGCTAGTTCAAAATACTTGGCATATTATTTTGTTATCTGGCTTAACTAACCTTAACAATCGGGATCGGGATAAGCGGTCAAACAAAAGTGGTTATCAACTCGATAATTCCCAATCCAGCCATGAGTGCGTTCATGTAAAAGGGGCGGTGTTGGCAGCAGATGACCAATCACAGACACTACCAAGTCTACTGGCAGCAGAGTGTCATATAACGAAGAGCAAACTATAACACCAGAAATACGACATGGTCTAAGTAGCACGGCTGCAGCTGACACATGCAGGGGACAGAAAATCGTCAACAGTGTGAATACCTAAATGAACAGGCGTAGTCTATAATAATGAGTTGATTTGACGTGTTCTTATGGTGTTATGAAAATATTAGCCGTATTCTTTCTTTTGCTATGTCGGCGTTTCCACATTAAAAGACTCTGGCACTGAATGGCCTAAGTGTCATTTCAACTTCCACCTCACTTTTCACTAGCAAGGACCACAATCAACAGGTATGATTAAATGATTTATTGATTAACGAACAGAAGATGTATGAAGCTTGCAGTAGCTGAATAGACATTAGAAAGTGTTGTGGGGAAGCTACGATAGGGAAATCCGCCGTAGCTTCCCGGGCACGATGGACCCCCTATAAACCTATGGAGAGAAGGAAGGAGATCAGGAGGCAGGACAGAAAAAGGGGTGGGAGGGAGGGATGCAGGATACGAGGGCGAAGGGGAGGACTTAGGACATGTGGGTATTTATGGAAATGCTCGCGATGACGTGCTTGATGTGTGGTCCCGCTCCTGAAACTCTGCTAATTAGCACCACTTAAGAACTTCTTGTCACTTCAAAAATTAATTTATTTAACACACTCCATGTTCCAAACATTGCTCTAAATTAACTTTATAAAGCAACAAAACGAAAAATCCATTCATGCTGTTAAATGCGCTCAAATAGTGGTTGAACATTTAGGCTACTGAAAACTCACCTCATTTCCTGCGCCCACATCGCAAAAGGTAAGGTGCTACATGACCAATCTTTATAATACAAGCTAGCTACTAACCTAAAATAAATTCATATTACACTTAATTACAATTGGCCTACCATACGGTCTAGACCTGTTCTATAACAAAACGCGATAAGGTGATAACGGCTGTTATGAATTGGCGCTATGCAAATAAAATTGAATTGAACCCAATGTAACCAATGGAGCAGACACTTGACCGGGTTCAATCCCCCATTGTGACACATCCACCAAAGTGTCCCTGAGCAAGACACTAGTTGCTCCAGAGGCATGCAACCTCTGAAATGTATAGCAATTGTAAGTTGCTTTGGATAAAAGCGTCAGCTAAATGAATAAATGTAAAGAAAGTTGTCAATATATGTTTTTATCATTTAAGAAGTATTGCCAAGGTTAAGTCTTTTATTTCAGCCACAGATCTGGAAAAACTCATCTATGCCTTTATCTCCTCCCACCTTTACTACTATAACTCCCTTTTATACCTGTCTCAGTCAGAAATCTATTCACTACCTACAATTAGTTAAAAATGCTGCAGCTTGATTTTCATTTATTTTTTTCCAATACTGATATATCGACTTGTTGATGTTTTATTTATTGATTATAAACCACTGTGTGTTCGGAATTTATTGTTCATTTGATTTTATATTCACTGGTACTTAAGCTGCTAGAAAAACACATTTCAAAACTTGGTTAGCTTAGATGAACAATATCTACTTACCTTTCCAACATACTGTGGTTCAGATCCCATGTACTCCTCCAGGACAAAGAACTGGTTCCACACCCATCCTCTTTTAATACGCTGGACTCTCAGCCTCCTGTTTCTCCTTAGCATCGTTTTGGCCCCTAATAATGTCACTTCCCCTAAAGGCACCCTTACAGTATTACCTCCAGTCCCTCCCCTGGCTGACATCACTGCAGCCTTAGTTCTGCTCTGGAGCTGAGATTTCATGGGAATTTGGGAGCTGTAGTCCAATAGCAAACAGGAGCCCATCAGAAACAGAGTGTAATATTCCCTTGTGATCATTGGGGGGTATTGCTGTTAAAAAGCAAGTAAAAAGTTCAAAAAGCTGTCTATTTCCAGGTTGGAAATTAACATGCATCAAAAGCAGTTTTTTTCCTGTAGGTAAGCATTGGACAAAGTGTTTAAAATCCAATATGATGTAAGACGATGAGAGGAAGATCTGTTACAGCACTGTCCTCACTGAAGTGTGAGAATTACTGATCATTATGGGGGATAAGGGATTTACACACTTTGGTTTGATGTTGACCTAGGTTCTGTAAAATGGCTTGTATTTGGTCTGCTTTAATTCTATTTAGAGTTTGACTGCAATGGAACCAAGATGACTACCTTGTCTTCTCTTTATTTCTTCTGTCAGTCCTCAGTTTAAACACCTGGAGAAAAAGATGAAGATAACAGTGTTGAGCATGAAAGTTCATTGCTAGTCTTGGAAACAGTAGTTTGCAAAAAAGAAATCTTTTCTCAAGCAGACTGAGTTTGTTTAATTACCACACACTACTAAGTGACAGTGACTATGCTCTCACCAGGACAAGTTAACAAATATTTTTTATTTTTTTCGCAATCAATCATATTGTCAATTTGACCTCAAACTGCACTCTGACAACAGTGCAGAGCTTTGCTTGCTCCTTTTTATATTTGGAGTATAGAATTATATGAAAGTTATGATAAGGAACGCAAGAAAAATGCTTATTTATATCCTGTCATTTCTTTACCGAGATGCAGGCATAATCAGTACTTTAACTATTTATTATTTAGGATTCTTTGACTGCTGAATAGCTTGGAATTAAAAAAAATACATTGCCACCTGGTTTCCTATAATATTTGAATAGCTTGAGGTATGGGTGAGCTGTAAAATGTCAGTGAAATAGATGCAAAATGACCAATCTGAAGCAGATATGCTCACACCTCTCACTAATGCTTACTGCCATGTAATTAACTAAAACTGCTATCCACTATCACTACAGCTCAGTGGGAGACTCAATAATGTGCTGTCTGCTTTAATTGAGTGCAGTAGGGTCTGTAGGGCAGCTTTCATTCCCAGAATAATAAAATATCAAAATCCCTACATTGGTCCTGGTCTTAATCCTATGATGTCAGTGCCTCAGTGTGATATCAAACATAGGAACACAGTCTTGTTCAAGATGGCGGTTCTATGTGTTTTTGTTTATTAACTCTGTTTTCTGACATCCCTCTCTGGTAACTTTTACCAGAGAAGAGCTCTTAAACATCGGACTTTCAACTGCTAACACTATTACACCGCTCCTGATTGAACTTTCCCGGAGTAATTAGCTGGAGCAGCGGTTTGGGATCCTTCAGAGACGCCGAAAGGGAAGGCAAGCTAGTGCACTAGTAACTGAGACAGCAGGGTTTTCGCACTGTGCTCCCTTCAATTCACCTGGCGAATGTCCGCTCTCTGGCCAACAAAATGGATGAACTGCTGCTCCTCAACAGAATTAACTCGGACTTCTGCAGATCTGCCACCCTCTGTTTCACAGAGTCCTGGCTCACTGAGCACATCCAGGACCGAGCACATCCAGGAGTTCCTGCCGGGATTTAATCTTTTCTGGGCGGACCGCGAAACGAAGCTCACGGGAAAAACAAAGGGAGGCGGACTCTGTCTCTACATAAACGAAGGTTGGTGCACAGATGTCACAGTGTTGAAGAAATCATGCAGCCCTCACTTACAGACATTATTCATAAACTGTAAACCATTTTATTCACCGCGGGAGTTTTCCTCGTTTGTTCTGGCCGCTGTTTACATTCCACCTCAGGCCTGTGTTAGTGAGGCGTTACTACACCTGGCCAACCAGATAACTAACGTGGAGAAAAAACATCCAGACTCCCTGCTCATTGTTCTAGGAGACTTCAGCAGAGCAAACCTCAGCCATGAACTTCCAAAGTAATGACAGCATATTAAGTGTCCCACCAGGGACACTAACACTGGACCACTGCTACACTACATTAAAGGATGCCTATCGCTCTGTTCCCCGTGCAGCCTTGGGACTCTCTGATCACTGTCTGCTTCATCTTATCCCGACACACAGGAAAAAACTGAAATCTGCTAAACCTGTTGTAAAGTCTGTGAAAAAATGGACCAATGAGTCAAAGCTGGAGTTACAGGCCTGCTTTGACTGCACTGACTGGAGTGTTTTTGAGACTGCAGCCACTGACCTGGGTGAACTAACTGACACTGTGCACTGTGTCATCGTCAGTTTTTGTGAGGACATGTGTGTGTGCACACTAAAACCTTCCGCACATACAACAATCAAAAACCCTGGTTCACAGCGAAACTCAGTCCTGATCATGAAGGATCCCCAGAAGGGAACAATCCCATCCAACTACTGGCCAATAACCTGCCTCTGCACAACATGGAAGCTCCTGTCAGGTATCATAGCGGCTAAGATGTGTAGGCACATGGCTCAATACATGGACAGGGTCCAGTAGGGAATGGGCAGTAATACCAGGGGAGCCAAGTACCAGCTACTGGTCGATTGAGCAGTCACTCGAGACTGCAAGACCAGGCAGACCAATCTGTGCACCGCCTGGATTGATTACAAGAAAGCCTATGAGTCAATGCAACATACATGGATAGTGGAATGCTTGGAAATGTACAAGATCAACAGGACACTAATAGCCTTCATCAAGAACTAAATGGGGCTGTGGAAAACAAAGCCTAACCCAAAGCCAATTGCACAAGTCAGCATCAAGTGCAGTATATACCAAGGCGATGCACTATCCCTGCTGCTGTTCTGCATAGGCCTGAACCCCCTCAGCCAGATCATCACAAAGACTGGTTGTGGATATCACTTCGTCTACATGGATGACATCAAGCTGTATGCCAGAAATGAGCGAGACATCGACTCACTGATCCACACTAACAGGATCTACAGCGATGACACTGGAATGTCAATTGGACAAGTGTGGTCACATGGTATCAAAAAGAGGGAAAATGATCAAGCCGACCAATGACCAAGGGGGTTGAACTACCAGAAGGCCACATTGCAGATGTTCAGGACAGCTACAAATACCTTTGGGTGCCGCAGGCTAACAGAAACCATGACGAGGCAGCAAGAAAGTCCACCACAGCCAAATACCTACAGAGAGTAAGGCAGGTCCTGAAAAGTCAGCTGAATGGGAAGAAAAAGATCCAAGCCATCAACACATACGCCCTGCCAGTCATCAGATACCCTGCTGGTATAATAAACTGGCCAAAGGAGGAGATAGAGGCCACTGACATCAAGATAAGAAAGCTCCTCACAATGTACAGAGGGTTCCACCCCAAATCCAGCACCCTGAGACTGGACACAAAGCGTAGCGAAGGAGGCCGAGGGCTAGTGAGTGTCAAAAACACTGTCCAGGATGAAACGATGAAGATCCAGGATTACATCAGGAAGATGGCCCCCAAAGATGAAGGGCTAAGTGAATATCTCAGGCAGCAGAAACCCGAGGGTGAGGAAAAGGAAAACTAAGAACCTTCATGGAAAGAGACAAGCCACTGCACAGCATGTACCACAAACAAACACAGAAGTGGCTGAAATCCTACCAGTGGCTGGAAAAGGCTGGACTAAAGGACAGCACAGAAGCACTAATCATGCCGGCACATGAACATCTGCCATGAGTATGGGCTGGAAGTCCCAAGGTCAAAAAGGAAGATACCTCCTAAGGTAGTTGAGAATGATCCTGCTAAGATCCTGTGGGACTTCAAGATCCAAACTGGTGACAAACTGACAAACTGGTAATGGCTAACCAACCAGACATCATGTTGATTGACAAACAGCAGAAGAATGCTGCAGTGATAGATCTGGCAATCCCAAGACACAGGAACATCAGGAAGAAGGAACACGAGAAGCTTGAGAAATACCAAGGGCTGAAAGAGGAGCTAGAAAAGATGTGAAAAGTAACAGTGGTGCCAGTGGTAAGCGAAGCACTGGGGGCTGTGACCTCCAAACTGGGAGAGTGGCTATAGCAGATTCCATGTAAAACATCAGAAGTCTCTGTCCAGAAGAGTGCAGTCCTAGGAACAGCTAAGATACTGTGCATAACCCTCAAACTCCCAGGCCTCTGATAGAGGACCTGAGCTTGAGGATGACACGTCACCCCGCAAGGGAAGAGAGGGGGATTTTTATATATATTGTAGTGAACAACGGTGTGGATTTGTGCATTTTACATGGAATAAATTGGGAGCTACCCCTAAATTCCTTTCTCCTCCCCAGAGAAGAAGGGGAGGGGTCAAAGTTGCTTTCTCTAAGTGCTGTCCCGACCATAAAACTGGCACCTTTTTGATTCCGAAGCTGATAACGCGGGGCCTGACTGTTAAACTGACAAAGGGACACGAACCAGCCATTGGCATTTCCCTAAACAGCCTATCAAAACTGGCCCCCCCACACACATTTCCATGGCAACTGACCTTATTCTTTGTTTTATTACCACATCAAAAAGGAAAACCCCTGTCTCACCCAAGTGTGACATGGTCCAGACACTGAACTTTCAATGTAAAAGGACTGCAGTCTCCAAAGACTCAAAGCATTTAATTAAATCTTTAGTTACCTGATTACGTTTGCCTCTATTTGAGTAGTTATGTTAACTGTTGTTGCTATCTGCTGTTGTTATTAGTGCTGAAAAGAAGTTACTTGTGCAGTGTTTTTATTTTCAGCAAGACACCCCTTCATCTGATGTAATCAATGCTTGTTCATAATACTTTCCTACAAAATTCCTTTAGAAATGATGACAAAGAAATGTAAACTCTTAATCGCCAGCTTGAATTGAAGGATGAATCAACAATATTCCCAGTTCCTAAGGAGAGACGATCTTTGATTTAATCCAAGCTTTCCTCGTGTAACCTGAGCTCCCCCGAGTGGACGAAATAAGTATTACATGCCCTCGTTGGAAATGCCGTTAAATGTATAAATATCCTGACCAATAATGTGACAATTGTTTCCTGTTACCAAATGCTTAGAACAGTACAACCGTTCAACCATTGAGGTTCGATTGTGGAAAATATTTGATTATAATACGTGCAAATAGATTTCTTTTCTTTAGATATTAAGTTTAGAAAGGCAGTCCCATGGGAAACCTGAGACGCCCCTGGGGAACCACGCCCCAGACAACAAAAGAGCGACACGCGACCTCGCTTCGCTTCTCTTCTCTTCGCTGTTGGCTCTTTCACTCTGCTCTGCTCGCTGGACGCTTCGGCACGCGCAGCGTGCCTCGCCAGGCAACGCCCAGACTCGGCCAGCGAAACAAACAGGCCCTTTTGTTCGCCTGAAGCTACACACCTGAAGTGCCTCGACATCGATCTGCCTTCAGTTTGTTTTATTTTCTTTATTTCTTTTGTTTGTTAAAGTTATAAGTCCGTTAAGTTACACTGGACTAA